AAGTGGAAAATGGGAATGGAATATCATCGCCACAATGGGGTAGGAAATTCCACCCAAATCACATTTGGCCGGTGTCTGATGTCGCCTTCCTAGTCAATCGTATTTCACAATAATTATGTCGTGAAAACAAACAAGATGCCTTGGGCGAACTCAACCGTCGAGGTGGGCATGAGCAGCAATTTCCGGATTAGTTCACTGTGCTGAATTCTGGTTGGCTTTCAGGATCTGAGATATGCATACTCTATCTCCTCTCCATATTTGATCAAGCTAGACTGGTCCAAGAGCAAATTTAAAACATCCAAATTGACTTTATGCTTATGGCCTGTTGGTAGCAATATCCATGATATCATGGACGTTTCCTTGGGTCGTAGGTATTTTTACTGTATATTGAAAGCCTTGCAGGTGACTGGCTGCTGTTGTTTGGCTTATGCACGTGCGGAACTCAAGCAGCCTTTCCAATTAGGCTCTGCACACTGCAGGATTGGTTCACCGTGATGTACGCTTGGAAAACACTGTGCGCGTAGAAAATCGATTTATTTTGATTGACTTGGAACACTGCGGAAGGGTAGGACGCCTACCTGATGGATTTAGCAACCAGTATATACCGCAAACGAAACTGGGCAAGCCAGAAATGCCCTACTCGTTCGGCTGTGACGTATGGATGCTGATGAAGGCCGTGCTTACACTTTCATTCGTCAAAGAAGATCGGGATACTCAAGGCCTCATTTTTGAGTTCCTCGAGTTATTTGACAAATCCCCAGATGATCCAAGGCTACGTAACGAAGGTGTCTCTACTGAAATGTTGATACATCTTGTATTTGAAGATGCAAGATCGCATTATGAAGCATCATAGTATTTATTGCAGAGTTTTTCTTGATAAAATTTGTACACATTACTAAGGCATAACCATCGCATCAGTCGTAGTAGAAACTGTGAATATAAGATATTGGACTTTCATTGAGGCTTGGAGTTGGCCCCGACTTGACGCATAATTCTTGTAATGGTGATCTCGACTACTCCTCCAGTCGCACCGCCTACCAATTCTAAATGTAGCCGCACCTATGAGCATCACTCCGAAACGACGATACATAACATGTTTTGTTCTTAAACGTTAAAGCCTTTCCAAGTCTTTGAGTATTGGTGGGTATACGTTAGGAATTTACGACCTGTTCGGACATATAGGTGCCTGCATTTTACATGTATTACTTGTTTGACAGAAGAAACATATTGCAACGATGACCGACACTGTAGTGCTCTGGATACAGCTCTTTATCATTGATGTTTCTCTACGTGTTAGCCACGAGATCATGAGGAACATGTGATTCCTCAACTCTCAGTCGTTAATAGACGAGACTGTGTAAAAGGCAAAGACATTAGTAGCACATACCCTGAGGCTACAGAGCTTTCTTCGTCTTGGTTTGGTTGGACGTCCGTTGGACATGTATCCTATTGTCTTTCTCCCAACTATTCAACTGTTACAAAGTTTCAACGACTTGCAACAAACAACACGATGATCAACCAAGTGCATTCGATATCATACTATCAATAGCAGAACACTCTCTGGAGGTCTCGGATATAGCCAACTTGTCGCTTGCATGCAAGGTTTTAAACAGGGAATGCAAGGAAAACGTTGATGCAATCTATCGTGCTATTTCACATAGCATCCCACTGGTCTTAAGGAAGCTTCACACCACTCAACACCCATCATTCGAACGGAGTCTACCAGAAACAGCCAAGTCTGCCTACTTTTACTTGCAAGCACGGCTGCATGAAGTGACATCAACACGCTTTTTGATTGAGGTGAGGTTTCAAGCTCAGCTCTTCCGTCTACACAGAGCGGACATGCGTACTGGTGTTTTTTCCCATTCAAAAGGTGTTGACGTCGCTTTTCACTCATTAGGACTATGCGCTCGATAGACTGAGACACTTTAATCGTGAACATCCTGGTGTCCACACGTTTTCGCAAAAAGATATGGAGGCCGAAGGATTCCAAGCTCTTGCCACTCTATGGGCTTTAGTGGATGGATCTCAAGTATGATTCACCCATGCGGTTTGGATCTGAGCTCCAACTAACATGGATCGAGAACAAACAGGCCTCAAATCAAATCTCGCGAACCCTATCAACATTGACCACTCCAGCTCTCATACTGGTGTCCCGTATAACCGAAATCGCTATAAGGAGAATCATGTTTAGGTTACGGTTTATTGGAGTGTCAAGTCAGGGTTATGGCGACTACTTGATCGAAGGAGGAGCTCGTAGGGTTTCTTGGGCTGTCTCTTCTTCCACCCCGTCAGACATACAAGATGACTATGAAGTCTGGCAAGAGAATGAGCAAGGAAGTGGATCTATCAGGAGATTGATTCTTGATTGTCATTTGCTGTTAAGGATTAGGAATGTTGGTATTAGGACGCCCTGAAAACAGAGACAGGCTGCAAACATAACTCATCATGGGATTGAGATTCGACCTATTATTCTCGAAATATATATAAACTAATCTAAACTATATAAACGTTGTAACCTGTTCTATGCAAGCATATACTACGTCTAAATGACCTTGCAAAAGACGTCCCTAAAACACTTCAAGCACCCTTTTCTTGCATTTCTACACTGGGTTTTGGAATGCATCTGGACCTCGAAGCTGCCTATTAGCAGCGTTCCATTTGATGGCAGCTTCCACCTCCGTGTCGTAATGTCCCAACACTTCCTCAATACCTCCAATACAGATGGTGGCCCTCCAATATGGACCGTGCCGCGAGACACCTTCAAACATAGACTTTGGGAGTATCGGTCGGCCATCGGATCCATCACTAGGTGGATGAGCAGCTCTTATTGGTACTGCTACTGGAGGAGCTCGGCTAGTGTGGGTATGGGGTGTACGGCGTTGGGTTCTGGAGCTTCTTTCCGGTTGTTGTTTTCTTACTGGAGGTGCAGCAGGGATCTGAGGCTTTCGAGACGCAACATGAGATCTACATTTGAGGAGTGAGTTGGTTGCAAATCGCGAAAAATTCTCTGCATCAATTTTCGTTGAAAATATTCACAATACCTGTTGTCGCTACTGTAACTCCTTTCACTCTCTTCCTCGTCTTCTTCGTCTGGATCATCAGACAATACATTCGTATTCGCATTTTTACCCCTGTATTCGATAGCTGCTTCATTCCAGGCTTTTGCAGCTTTTTTAGCAGTAGAATAACATCCAAGGTTACGTTGGTGCCCCAACGCAGTGATTTGAGCTTTGTATTTTCCAGGTGCAATTTTAGTAACACCTCTATATGGCGTGCTTCTTTTTCGTCCAGGAGCTTTTCTCCTCCTCTGAGAACCAGTAGAATTCCTCTGGGAACTACTAGAACTCTTCTTGTTTCCTGACTTGGATCTAGTGTGATATCAAAGTCAAACTTTCAGACATGCGACAATCCCACACAACAGAGAAACTGGAACTTACGGTGTGGGATTATTACCACTAATTACCACATAGCTATCATCAGAATCTTCTGCTTCTGACTCTGACGATATATACTGCACACGTTTACTAGACTTGCTGCGATTCCTCGACGACGATTTCCGTGTTATCTGGACATCCTCATCATCTTCAGAAAGACCCGCTAAATCAACTTCAGATTCTTCCGACAGTTCCGTTCCACCATCATCATCATGTTCAAAGCCAGCATCATTATCAACATCATCAGTCGGCGGTGTGGAAGACATACGCCGTCGTTTCTTGCCTTTGGATGTTTGCGACCAAGGTTCGTTTCCAGGTTTTGGTCCATCTGTATTACGAAATGATGGCGATTCATATCGGATTTGCGTTTTATTTTGTTGTTGCTGTTGTGGTAGAGGCATTGATGCTCTCCTCACTTCGATATCCGAAACACTCTTTTTATGATACATCGATTCTGGTTCATAGGCTGGTAATGATGGTCTTGCATTGTGTGATGGCGCACTTGAAGCTGTTGGTTGATTCTGATGACTTGTTGATGTTGGGCGATCATTATTAGAAGAAGATGAGGAAGTCGATATGGTGATGATACTCCTAGCTGGCTGATTTGGCAGCTGCGAGACGAAAGGTTGATCTTGTTCGTCACCATTCAGGTATTGTAGTACCTCCTTGATTTGTGATACGCGATGCCGTAGAGAGGTGTGAATGACATCAAAGTCGTCCAAATAATTCGGTTCGTCCTTTGGCTTGTTGTTCATCTTTGTGTTATGTTGATGTGCCCGAGAATGCGCGATGGTGGGCAATGCTAGAGGATAATCACAGCCGAAATAATGCCTAGATATTCCAAAATCTGATGATAATTCCTAAACATCGGTGATCAAGAGCGTTAGAACGAAAAATCAAAGAATGTCAGGAAGCAAAAAGTTTGAGTGAGACGATGCAAGGAACCGATGAACACCGGAGCATTGTAAATCTCAACAATACAACACATACCTTGGAGCGAGCATAAGATTACAACATGATGCTTTCGCTCAACAAAGCTTCGAGTCAAAATGAACTGCGTGGACAGAGACAGGCGCTAACATGATGAAAACAAACTTTCTGAGGCTATAATAAATACAATTTATTTCGTTCACAATCGTATTAATCTTCGCGGATCAAAGCATTCTTCACAAAAGACGGCAGATCGTTTGTGTTGTCACCTAAATCCCATGCAACGTTTTGACACCCATAGCATAGTCCTCTACTTGAATCTTTCGGTGGAGATGATAATGGTATCGGCGGTATGAGTGATGACACGGTATGCGATGATCGCCATTCATGAGATGCTGGTTCCACAGCTCTAAGACAGGAGGAGGCAAAAAAACTTAACAAGAGAGGAGTGATAGATGACGCGTTTCTAACAGTTCTCACCCTCCACATAAAGGACACTGAGTGACATGAGCTTTCGAGTCATGCCCTGTCTCAACCTTGAAGCCAGTCTTTAAGACTGTGCTCGTAGTAGAAGGGAAGTCTACCTGTAATCCCAGGATGAAATCTGCAAGAAGAGGGTTTAGTGCATGTATTCGACTGCTTAATCTCAAACGATAGCGTTCACCTTCAGTCAATCGATCAATACTTGACTTTGCTGGTAGGCCAGTATCAAAACTCCGCACAGTGTTGACATTGATTTCACAAAGTTGAGCAAGAACCGCGACTTCTTTTGATGTTAAGTCTCGCATAGGCTTCAATATGATCACTATGAAGTGAGAGCAACATCGTTAGATTCGCATTCACGTTTCGCGATGTCTGAAATGAGATTTCTGCCGTGGACACGCACCATCACCCTGCGTAGACTCTGAAGCAACCAACGCTGGCAGTCCAAACCCACGTCCTTTACAAACACCAGATATTATCTTGATTGCCGTTCGAGTAGCAGAATCACCCAGCAGTATATACGGACACGAATGCTCTCGAGCAACTTGTATCAGTAATTGTTGACGATAGTATTGTATCAGATCTTCTCGTGAGGACATTTTGGAAGCCGATGACAGACTCCGTATTAATCGTTCACGAGGTGTTTTCTGTCGCTCTGCAATAGTATTGAGAGAGATACCATTGAGTGCGAAAAAGAAACCGTGCTAATCATAGTACATACCAGCTGGATCCGACTTCTCTGCAGCTTCATCAGCAAACACGTCCTCTAGCCTCCTTACAACATACTCATGATCACCCATCATGGTGCCCAGCGACACGTCTTGCTGTCCTTCAATTAGAGCTGATTCATCGATATGACAAACAACCACTCCAGTAAATCGCGAGCGTTGGTACTTGTTGCGATTGAAAGACTCGTTCATCAAGTACAACATGAGGCTAGATATGACGTGTGCGTCAGTACAGTAGACACGAGCTTTTTTTTGCATAGCTCACCTTGAAGACATTCCACCAGAACAAGCCACCATTACCTTTCCAGTAGGAAGATGATCCATGGACTGCTGTTTAATAGCATGTCTGAATTGCTTTGAAGCTTTGTCTTTTAAGCATTCTCTGTTGCGACAACGAAAAAAAAGTCAGGGCAATGTCGTGAGCGATCGCTGCCTTGTTCGTAGTAAAGCATCAAGATTCAAGATGATCTCACCCGCAGAATACAGCATAATGTAGAAATATGATTGCTTTAGCCTTCTTGCACTTGATGCATATGCCTGACGCAGTTAGTTCTCGAACTCGAATTTGGCGAACTAGAGAAAAAGCACGGTCAGTGATATTACGAGCTCTGGAAGACGATATATGCTTACCGGGCCCATCATTATTAGATCCGTCGTCTTCAGGAGTCTCGCACTGCATTCTTCACGGAGCTTATTGACAAGATCTTGGAAAGTGTGTTTTTGTTTGATACCTATGAGCAAGAACACACTACAGTCAGAGCCGCTAAATCTATTGTTTTATTTAGGTTACAAGCACTTCTTTGCCTTGAAAGCTTCATACAATCATGTCCATCAAAGTATGAGAGCATGTACTTGAATGTACATTCATTTGGAATCACATCACGACGCACTTACATCAAATCATAGATGTTGAGTGCCCCTGAAGCTCTTGCTTTGGATCAGGATTTGATGAATAAGGACATTGGCGGCTTTTCGCTCGATCAGGTTGGGGGAAACACGTCAGCAGATGTTTGAATCAACGAGAGCTATTAACGCTGATGTAAACACCTAGTTGATGGAGATCGCTGGACTGTCGTGTGCATGCGCTCTCACCCAAGTATACGATCGAGCTACGTTTCCTCGTGTGCTGGTAATTGCTGGTCCAGGTATGTTTCTCGTTGAACCAAGGCTTGCATACATGTGATACGACAATTTATTTTTGTCACCTTATAGGAAACAATGGAGGTGATGCGCTCGTCGCTGCCAGGCATCTGTTTCACTTTGGGTATAAGCCGACCATACTATACCCAAAGCCAACACAAAAGGACATTTACATTGTACGATACGATGCTATTTTAACTGCAATGTGCCACTGATAGCAATCCCTTTTTGCTGCTACTGAAGGGCCTCGTCAAGCAATGCAAGAACCTCGACATTCCATTCGTGGATTCTGTGGATGGTGCTATTGAGAATGCTGATGTTGTGCTCGATGGAATCTTTGGTTAGTACACGAAATACACCTGATTTTTGTTTTGTGCTGAATTGTATGGACTTTACAGGATTCAGCTTTAGTGGAGACATTAGACCTCCTTTCGACAATATCATCAAGACTCTGAAGAAGTCAAGTATTCCCATTGTTAGTATTGACATACCTTCAGGCTGGGACGTCGAAAAGGGTATTTCATGTTTCACACGTGCGGATGCTACTATTTTGACACTTCCATTGTAGGAAACGTGGTTTCGAAAGGACTTGATCCTGAAATGTTGATTAGTTTGACTGCTCCAAAGCCTTGTGCACTGCACTTTCGAGGCAAACATCATTATCTTGGATTAAGGATTGTACCTCCGTTCATTGATAAAAAGTATGGACTCAACCTGCCAGAATATCCAGGTATTGAGCAATGTGTTCGTTTGCCTAGCAGTCTATGAAGAGGAGTTTTGAATGGCAGAGCAACAATTGTATTCAAATATTCGATTTCTTTGCATATCTATATATATTTGTTTGCGATTCTATATGTCAAGCGAGTTTTATATTTTACACCATCCATCTTGATCTCATCATAACACACCCATAAAGCGAGTCACATTCACAAAAATTAGTCAATTTCAGTGCCGTCACGCCTACTATAAGTGATACCAGCAGCTTCAATATCATCCACAACCCCATCAGGCAGCACTCCAATAACCTTTATGGCATACAGCCCCCTCGTGAATTTATCCACCCGTTGCCACCTCGCCACCCAACTCTTTTCGGGATTCAGCATGGCAATCATACCCTCGAATCTTGTAGACGTGCATTCAGCGACTTTTTCATCTGATCCTCGCATAGCGAGTACTTCTTCACAGTTGGGACACCCATGACGACGGAATTCTTTATCCTTTTGTATTATAGAGCAGAGGAGACATGCTCGTAGGCCTCGTCGGTCGGCTGGGATGAAGGATTCACGGGCTCCTGCTGCTGATGAGGCTGCTGCTCCTCCTGTGCGTTTGGAAGCGGATGATGGGCGAGATGGGCGTTCTTCTTCCAGGTCGTCATCTTCGAGGTTTTCACCACCAAAGTCTTCGTCTTCCATGTCGTCGTCGTGGTCGCTCATGTTCCTTATAGTACGTGTACGGTTGATGTTTTGAGTTTTGAGCGCAAGAGCAATTTGAGGGGCAATCGTACCAGTTTTCACAGAGACCTGAAAAGGAGAAGCTATGGACCAGACACGTGTATTTACGTGAACATGTACTATTCGAGGTGCTGATATTGCTATTTAAATCAAAAGTACAATCACAAGTGACAAAATCGGGACAGATCATGATTAAACAATGCAGGTTCTTCAAACCAGCAGCCGAAATGATGAATTCTTTGGAATTTTGTTTGCATTATCCTTATACTCAACCTCAGTGCTTCCAAAAATGAAGATTGACGACGATCGAGCGAATAGAATGAAGTCCAGTCCAATTAGTATTATTGTGGGAAATAAAAAGCGCTTTCTTCCAAATCTTAGGCCAAAACTCAGACATATCAAAGAGCATTAGAAAATTTATACCTCAAACCAAGACCTGCTGGAGTTGTCCCCGTGTTCTCCAACACCAAACCAAGGTCAGCCATTCTTTGAGTAGTAGCTATAAATCCATTATATATTTTTGGAGGTATTTCAGATAATCACTTCCTTTAAATAATGTATAAACTATTTACACTGACATGACAGCTTCTTTCTATACAACCCACCCTAAGTAATAACACCCCTTTGCTTCCCGGTGGATACAACGACGGTTTCCTGATGTCTACTGATCACCTCAAACAGTCATATGGCAGATCTATGAAGTAAATCATCGTTGTAAGTGTTTCGGTTGCTGACTTCTACAGTTGTTTTGGTATGTATTTGGGATATGCGGCATTATGGGTAGTGGTAGTCGACTCCTATCTAAAACTAGAGCTGCTCGGATCCACAGTGGTATAGGAGTGGTTTTGGCATACCGAATGAGCGAGTGACTAAAGTTTGCTGCTGTTACCATGGTGAGAATGTGTTACTTCACGAGTTTTTAAACTGTGATTTGAATGAGAAGCAGTGGCTTCCACAGCAGCAGCTATACAGAGGACTCTAGAATTTCCTGGTCGACTTGGGATACTCGAATGTCGGTGAATTTCAAGTACGGTTGATTTTCGTTGAAAATGTTCTATTTTGGACGAGTTTGATTGGGGTGAGAGTGTCCCAAGCGCAAACAAATCAAGGTCAAAACTGTTTGAAAACGGTAAAAAGCATTTAAAGAAAGCAAATGCACATGCATATTCCTTTTTACAAGGTTGTTATTACAATCCCAAATCCTTCTTCATGGCAGCGAATTCACGCTTCACCATTGGCGTCACTAGTATACCAGCGAGATCTTTCGACAATTTGCGATAGCCCTATACATGAAACAGCCAAGTTACATCAAGACTGACAGGACCAAAAATCGACGAAGCACCGCTTACATCAGACGAGAAATGCTGTCCATCAATCCAATACAGTTTATCTCGCTTGTACTCAAAGCTCGATAAATCCAATCCTTCCTTCACGAATGCAAGATTGTTGCCAATGTAATCACGAATCATATCGTTTCGAATCATTATATGATCTGATTCTGTTTGTCCACGTGGTGATATGTATGAGAGGAATGTGTCCTTGCCCATGTCTTTTAGGACTCGACATATTGCGGCAATGTTTTCTATTGTCTTTTCTGGTGATAGTCCTTGTCTATGAGGAGTCCGGTGTGTTAGTGACGTGCTTCAGATGTTCATTAAAAGTGTAGTTGACAGGATTTCTGTTGTTACTTGGAGTCGTTCATTCCCACAAAGAGACAGACAATTTCTGCCCTGTCCAGTTGTTTCAATTTGGTGAGGTACTTTCGAGATGTGCTGGTACCGCTCTATCCGATGGAAAAGGAGTATCAGACGACCGCTGCAGTATTTTTTCGCTCGCGGAGTCAAACGAAAAGAACTCATACTGACAATCTCTGACAAGGGTAACCAATCTTCAGATGTACTGCCATTCACTCCACAATTGTAGACTTGCCACGCATGCCTGAGCTTTTCATTCCGCAGACTGTTGGATAGATGTGTTGCGAGCCCTACGTGTAAATTGGGAACGATCAGTATAAGCCATTCATGAGCTCAAAACAGAGCGTGGAATGCGTACCTGGAACTTGACCCAGAGTAACGTAATCGCCAGCTCCATAAGCTTTGAAGGAGACAATATGTGTTTGAGACCCTTTTCGTTCAAAGCAGACTGATCAAATCATGATTACCTGTATCATCACCTAGAAAATAGTGTGATCAGAGTTAGCAATTATAGCAAAAGAATAGACATCATCACCAACTCGTAACATACCAATGATCAAGATACTATGAAAGTACTTTCCATACGACGAAGTAGAGACAGGCATAGCCGAGAATAGAAACTAATGAATGTTGTTCAATACTTCAAATCGTGTCCTGGTTCAACACAACACAGAGATGACATTGAGATGGTTGTAATCTTACATGTGAGATTGAGATCCAAATGCTTCGTAGGGCGATATGTAGCCACGTCCAGATGCTCATTGTAGGCTTGGCCATATTGCCTGGAAAACAAAATGACGCGTCTATTGTACTAGAATGGCATGTAGTGGTTAGCTTTGCTTGAAAACTCGAAATCATTCAAACTATCCAGTCAATTCGAATAACAGCGCTTACAAGCTAGTTCCAATGGCGCCAGTTTGGATACCGCTCGAGTCGAATCCTGCAGTACGTTAAACCTTTCTTTCTGGATCTGCAGTATGGAGCTTAACTGTTATTTCGTTTGTAGGTTTGGAACAAGGTGAGATTCAAGCAAAAGGGAACTTACACTCCGGAATATCCAATGATTTTAATATTTCGCCAATTTGGGCGAAATATACTAGTATATCGCTAATTTGGGCGTCAATACGGATTCATGGTGCTATTCTGACATTTGGGGTATGAACGAATGTCCAAACGAACACCCCCCTTTGAACTGGAACTCGCCCTGAACGATCGCAACTCTATTAGGCCTCGATGAAGACATATTACAGTTTGTTCCAAAACCAGTCATTGCTGTGTTGCTGTTGTTTCCCGTGACGGACAAGGTTGGCTGCCTCTTTACTGGATATTGACGATCGTTGTTTCGACTGTCTGCAAGCTCTCTCATCACATGTTATTACTGCTAGTACGAACAATATCGACGAGAAGAAGAAGCAAAGATCAAAAAGAATGGACAAACTGTGAGCGACAAGATCTGGTTTACAAGGCAAACAATAGAAAATGCATGTGGGACGATTGGATTACTACACAGCCTGGCAAACAATTCTGATGTCCTCCAAGTCGAAAAGGATGGGGGGTTGTCGCGTATACTTCACAGGACAGGAACAAAATCGGCAGATGATCGAGCTGAAGAACTAGAGAAGGATCAAGATCTGGCCAAAGCTCACGATGAAAGTTCTCGAGAAGGCCAGAGTGAGGTAAGCGTCAGTGTTACTTGATTGTCCAAATGCTTCGTGGAGCTTATTATTTACTCAGGTGCCGGATGCTGAGGAAGACGTGGATTTGCACTTTGTATGCTTTGTCAAACAGGACGAGTGCTTATACGAACTCGATGGAAGGAAGCCCTTTCCGATAAATCATGGCCCGTGTACAGATTTGCTCAAAGGAGCTGCGACCGTGATACGTCAATTCATGGATCGCGAACCTGAATCTGTCAACTTCAATATGATATCGTTGGGGGGAGTTCCTGCTGACGATTGAAGAAATTGTATGTTGCTTTATATATTGTTCATAGCGTACTCTATAAATGACGATGATTTTGAACCAAGTTGCGTAGTCTCGGTTTACAGGTCGTGTGAGGGAAGGGCGGCAAGTTCTGGTGGTCTTCGAGGTGTAATTGTCACGTAGTTGTCACGTAAGTGTAGTAGATTGTTCTTTCATAATAAAGTCATTGATTACAGTGGTTTGTACGTTCCTTCTAACATACACCACATAGACCTTTCAACCGGATACATATTATAGAGGACCATAATACATCCGCTCCATTTTCATACTCTCTATTTGTCAATAGCACCACTGTCAACACACAATCAAGCAATAAGATGGCATCCTTTTTCAAAAAGGATAAAAAACCTACGGATACAGGACCAAAGGTAAGTGCTGGACTGACTATCTTAGATCAATCGTCATTGCCTGTAGCTAACATCGGCAATCCCCAACAGATTATGATGCAAAATGAGCAGGCATGTGTTTCGACATTTTGCGGCAGTCGATGATACGTGGTCAAATATATCTAACTCCGTCAACCCATTAATTTGGATATGTATCTAAACTCGTTTACAGGCATATCGAGATTGTACGTACTCGAGGCTTTTTTGGCATGGTCCCGTCTTTGTCAAACTCCACAATTGCACAGCAAGACCTGAACGACTTACACTTCTAATTTAGATTTAATGGCAAATATCATTCGAGATATCGACACACTCGCTGGTAACGGTTGGATAAGTCCAATGACTCAGCAAATGGTCAGATCCCTTTGTCGCAGCTCATATGTTGGCTTCACTTCAACTCATTCGCCATATTCACATATTAGCTCAACGACAACCTCGAACTGGAATCAGCAAATCCTCCAGGCTACGCTCCTAGCGCTTCTTCTTCATCGTTTAGAGGACCACCACCTGGCAGTGTCGGAGGAGGAGGGAGAGCCATCATGCCACCCGCACCAGGGCTGCCACCTAGAGGCGTTCCCAACGCAGGTCCCAAACCTGCTCTGCCGTCAAGGAATACAGGAAAGGCAGGATCAAATACAGTCTCTGCCATACAAGATTTTGGCACTGGTGAAGATGGGGATTTGGAGTTTAGGTTTGGTGAGACCATTAGTGATGTCGAAGAAGGTAGGCAAAAATATCATTATCTTTTGTTTGTTGTATCTTTTTTCTTCTTGCGAACTGTGATTCACCAACGCGATATTTTATATAGTGGATGAGAACTGGCAAGTCCTTTAATTCTTCGTCCTTGCAATGTTACATATCTAGCAATGAGCTATAACCTTGCTTTTCAAATAGGTATCGTGGACGAATTGGTGCAAGGACTGGAATATTCCCAAAATCCTACGTTCGCTAGAGTTGATGCAAAAATTATTATTGATGCTGCTTATTGTTTAAATAAAACTGATTTCGAGAGACAAAATATTTCTTGTGTCGTAGTTTATCTAGCTCTGAAAATGCCCGTCAAAGGTGGAGGTTTGCTGCAGTCACGCTTTTGACAAAAAGCTTCAAAAAGCCTAACGTTTTGTCAAGTACACGACATGACAGAGCTGTCCAAGCTCGCAAACTCCATACCAACATGGGCTTGGGCCATAATCGGTGCCTATGGGCTCATCACTCTATTGAGACAGTTGACAAAAAAGCCTTCGGACGCAACAGGCTTCTTTGAGTGGCCGATAGTTGGTATGTCGCTAATTGTTCCGCAGAAGGCATAATAAAATCTAATCAACTTAACGTAGGAAACATGCCTCAGCTCAAAAGACCCAGTAAGTCGTCTCATCCTTTGCAAAACATTCCAAACATCATTGTTGGGCTTTTAAACCAACCGGCCAAGCTGGGCCACCGAGGAGTCTAGAGACATGCTTATTTGTGAATTTGATCTACGTTCCATTCAATCGTTTCTAATCGTACGAATTTGACACCTTAGCTCGACGTGCCCAATTTATGTTGGAGGTATCGTTAGCTCACGGCGCAGTCTCCAAGGCCACTGTAATGGGGAACCAGTCTATTATTGTATCCGATGTTTCCGTAAGATATTGTTTCACCTTCTTTCACACATCACAACGCCCACACCTTACAACTGACTAGATTGTCAAGCGGATCTTGCAAACCGAACAACAAGATTGGAGTCGCGGTGGTAGCTCAGAGATCCTTTTTGGTGATATTGCTGGTGGCCTGATTCTTCAACCAAATGGCGAGAGTTGGAAGGAAACACGTAAATTCTTTGATCCCAATTTCAATGTGCCTACGATCAAAAGTTATACTCCCATGTAAGCTGAGTATGGGTATCTGCCACTCTAATTGCTTTCTGTGAAGCTTATCTAATCAATGACGTTCTAGCGTCCAAGGAAGAGTAACCAAGCTCATCACATGGCTCAACACACAATCAAAATCTCCAGACAATACCGTCAAAGGTCCTGGAATTGAGTTGCAAACCGTCTTTCATGGCATCACATTCGACATTATCGTCATGATATTACTAGGATATGATCCAATGTCTGTAGAGAAAGGTGGTGAATCTGTGCACGTGCATGCATGGGAACACTGCTTAATGTCATTAACTAGACGCTCGCCATATCTCAAGACTCAGTACTGGAAGTATTGGAAAACAAAGTCTGTGGTTGAGTATGAGCGACAGTATAAACTATTGACGGATCTAGTTCTCGACCGTCGCCGCTATTATGAAACGAATGGAGTCAAGGACTCGGATGTGGATATGATGGCTAGTTTTATTAGGCGCATGAAGCAAGATCCGTCTAGCATTCCAGAGTTTTTAAGGACGAGTGAATATGAGTTTACGCGGCATTATGTGACGATGATTTTTGCAGATAAGTATATACTACTCCTTTTGTTTTGATCTGGTCAATGAGTACTTACCTTTGGTTGTTTTCTCTTGTCATTTTACGGCACGACACGACGGCTTCCACGTCGCTATGGGCCCTCGCATTCATGCTCATGCAACCAGAATGGAAGATAAAAGTCTACAATGAGATCAAAGACGTGCTTGGAGACAACACGCCAGCGACATATGAGGCTCTGGACACCATGCCAATTTTATCGGCTGTCGTGAAGGAGACGCTTCGTTTACGGCCTTCTGCACCCGTTTTGGTATAACTTGTTTTGTTGTATGCTGCACGTTTTGACTCGAGGAATCTGATCGTAGTTCTCAATGATCGTAAATTTCAACACTCTAGAATCGCGTTACTGCAGTCGACAAGATGTATGAATGGAAGGATAAAGATGGAAGTACTAAAAGACACTTTGTGGCAAAGGGAGCTGATACAGGCTTCCAGCCCTACGTGGTCCAATTACATCCTGACAACTACGATAATCCGACTGCCTTTGATCCGAGTAGATGGCTGGATAGTCGTGCCAAGACGTACGACACGTACGCATATGTTCGTAAGTCATGACAGAAGTAAAGTAAATTATGTTTCAACGTAGGTTTTTTTGTTGAGCTTCAAATTCTACCTAGCATTTGGCGGCGGTCCTCGTAAATGTCTTGGTAACGATTTCGCAGGATTTTGCAAACATTCATTGCCAATCTCACACACCTCTGACATAGGCGAGAAGCTGGCCTTGTTTGAAGTCAAGATGGTGGTAGTTGGTGTTTTGAGAGAATTTGATGTCTCGCTGGTGGAAGGACATGTGTGTGATTTCATTACAGCGTAAGACCTTGTCAAAGTTCTCTCGAAAGAAGGTTGCTTTCTTTTAACGACGCTTCTACTTGCTTTCTAGTCCGACTATGAGAATGGTGAATGGGTTGAAAGTTGCCATAACGAAACGATGAGCTTAAATTTCAATAGTAGAGGATACTCTATTTGTTGTTTGTCACTAATTGAAAATACAGATAAATATCACTTTCATACTTCTAATAATTGTCCCTTGTCATAAAAATAATCCTTGTAGTAGTAATCGTCCTTCATGAGTTGCTGTCAAGCAGAATTTATAAATTACGTTTATTTACGAGATCGAACCATTGGTTGAGCGATTGGTTTTGGTGTGAATGACTTTGTACCCTTTCCAAACTTTGCAGAGTGACGAGTCTGGATTTTCATGATGGTTTCCATATCACTGTTATGTTGGCGACGAGCAGAGTGCGTAAGCTTCTTGGTCTGTTTAAGATGATAAGATAATGAGTGCTTTTCATTTCTCAAAGACAAGCGAATGCCTATGTCGTCGTCAGTTGCGCCACTGGCGCAAATCGTAAAGATAAGCTGAGTTCACCACCAAACTTAAAGAAAAAGGAGGCTCGACTGGACAAAACGAAGTTCATCCAATGTCTAATATGACCGATGCCACAACCTACCTCATTCAACTCAGCCAAAGTGGCCAACCCCAAAAGCGCAGAAGTTTGGTGAGAAGTAGGAGCCCTGTTCGGCCTAAGCTGCACTATACCACTACTCGTTTTAGATAAGGATTTCGGTTTCGGGTTTCCTGTGGTTATAATAAGGTGTATGCCTTCAATGACATCGTTCTCAATGTTGATGCTGTCGTTGAGGGTTTCCTCGATGTGGTTTTGCACGGAAGGCCTGGAGACTACCTCCCAGTCATGTGCTTCGTCTGTTTTGATTTCCAAGTCGGTATTAGTATCGGCATCTATTTCTTCTTCGTTGGGCTTTTGGGTGAAAACTTTGGCAAAGTATGAAAACATTGTTTTTCCTGTAGGTAAAAAGAGTGAAGTTAACAAGGTATTCTTGAATGTGATCAATATCGAAAGCAGCACACCTTCTTTTATCTGCTATCGTACGGTTATATGTGTGATTTGGGCAAAAGTGTTTTGGCAATATGTCCACCTGATTAGATTAGGTGATTGGTAAGCACAGCAAAACAACAGCGCGAGGCAAGGAGTTTGACGTACTTTCTGGCAGAGTATGTAGTATTATAGAAGGTAAATATATGGGATAACGTGAAAACTATTTTGACTATTTTGAAATAACACTCCACATTGTGCTTTTCTTTTTCAACGTGGGCCAAAAAGACGCGAAGTAGAGCCCACTGACGAAGCTGATCCAATAGCGCTTTCGGATGCAAGAGATGAAGCAGTAGTTACAATAGAGTCTGGTCTCTTTCTCATCTCGCTGCTCTTGGGAGGCAGCGAACTGGGCTCGACCACTGAGACTGGCCTCGACGCAACAAAGCTTGATTCACGTGAGAGTTTGGTCCTGACTGACATGTATAACGGATTGTCCTTGTATGATCCATCGTAGATTGGATTACTCTTCAGTATAATCGGTGGTGGAGGACTCTCCTTTCCCAAATCTGGCAATGATATTGACGACGATGTCGAATTTAGAAGAGCACCCTTGCTCAAGCTCTTACCGAACTCGGGTCTGTCCTTTGTGTAAACTCGGAATGTCTTGAACATTGTTATCCAGGCTGCGGTTTGTTTCCATCCTCTGGCTGCAAACCAGACACAGAGGAGCGCCATTGAGAGAGAGCTTGTCACCATTGATGCCATTGTGAGTACGTCTCGACTTGTATCAGTGTTGTAGGATGAGGATTGAGCCGCCAAGAAGATGAGGGATATGACTTGAAGCAGAGCGGTTGTAACGTTGACGTGATTGTCATTTGCAGACTCGTATGGCTTGATAATCAATATACCAATAGCCCTATAGAGTTGGAATTAACATGGTGGAAGGAAGAAAGAAGCAACCGCTCAGCCGTGGCTGCATACCATGCTAAATTGAGCACAATTTCTGAACACAATTGAACGAGAGGTAGCTGACCCAATGTTGCCAAAAACACACCGTCAATAATGTTCTTGGCAAGTACGGCACATGCTAGATAAACTAGCTCTCGTTTGAAAGAGGAATAAAGATATCCATATTTGGACCTAAGACAATAAAAGTGAGAAAGCTATTCCTTCAAACTTCGCTGCTCATTAAACCTACCTAATAGCTTTTTCTTCAAACAACTCATCATTATTGTATTTGGCGACAATCAAGTAACTCAAGTAAAGTGTCGGCACAAGATCCAATAGGAGTAATACTACAGCGGCCAGAGCTGTAAGCCACATTGGGCAAATCGATGCGAGTGTCAACTATATATAACACAAAAACTTTAGGTCGTTATAAATGAAAAGGGCAAGGACGTTCAATTCAAATTCATCTTTGATATCTGACCTGATAGATAGCAACCGCCGTAAGCTGAAGATGTGAGAATGAAAACACAATCACCAACAAAGCAACATAGTAGTCTATAATGCCATGAGCATGTCTCGACAGCCATCTTGGTAGTAATTGATGCTTTTTCAGCTCAAGCAAAACGACCTTCAGTGCAAACATAATGGCGGTCAAGATGATCATGACGCACACCATTCCGGTCACTGTGACGAGAAAGAGCTGCTCCGGACTTATCCCTGCCATATAAGCATATTTGCCAAGAGACCAGTTTCCGGTTGTGCTGTTGCCTAACGAGTATGAAGCAGTCGATAGATCGGATATCAAATCACGTTTTCGAAGCGTCGTGACACTGGACGAGTTAACATATGCGCCACTTCCAGAATCCAACACGGATGGTATTAGAGCTTGAGCGGCTGATACGGTGAATCCCATTGGGAAAGTGAATGTAGACCATTGAAACATGTTGGAATATATGGCGTAATATCCAGGAACTGTTATCGAAAGCATGTTGGTTTGGGCAACGAATTGCATCATTGTCACCAGTGGAGCCAATCCAAGCGTTGTCACAGTACCAGTAATATGACTTGCGATTACAGTTCCGCCAATGGCACTTTGGGCTATCGACATGACAGATACAGTAACCACAGTTCCGACCGAAATCGTGGTAATCAATGGTGAAATGTGGGTCATAGAAGTCAATGAGTCGTTTCCGAATATCGTTGTTGGAGCTGATATCACTGGTGTCCATGTTCCATTCAAAACTTCAGTCGTTGCGTTTATCACGGAGCCGACAAAACTCAATGGTCGGACTCCAAGGGTGATATTGACAAACAGAGAATCGGAGGTATCTCCTTCTACAGTCTTGGCTGTAAAGTACCAAATGGAGTTTGCTGACGAGCATGATTCGGTAACCGAAGATAGATCAAGCGTCGCATTTCCAGTTCCGTTAACTGGTGTAATTTCAAAGACACCGAGGTCAACGGTTGTTGTTTGAGACGATGGGCCACATAGCTCGACGAGAGTAAAGTTTACAGAAGTACCCGTCGCGTCGAAATGGCTCATATTCAAGGCTACATTCACCAGCTCGCCGGTGTATATCGCTCCACTTCCTCGCTGTTTGCAAGAAAGCAGCATGTTATCTGGTGCTCAAGTATCGAAGTCAGACCCAATCGCTTTTCACTTACTCTCAAAAATGACAGGTATCGGTTTGTGTAGGAAAATCCAGTTGATGTGGTTATCGTCTGTTCTGAGTTGGTAATCTTCAGGAAAGAATCATAACATCTTGGTAGCAGACTTCCACTGGCAGCTGCCAAGGAAAGTGTTACATCCATAGTTGTATTTGTTGGATCGTATTCAGCAAGTGTGATGCTGCCTAAAGTTACTATGGCACCACCCGAACATCTTGTTTGATCCAGCATTACTGTGAGTGGGAAATCGACTCCATCAATTGTACTGAGATAGACTGCATTCATTATGACTCGAATAGAATCTCGATTTGCATCACCACTCATTGATGTTGCTGGCAAAATCGCCAGGCTAGGCATCGAGTTTCGAATGGTTATGACACCTCCCAAAAAGCTTATGGTGTGAAGTCCGTCGAAGAATGTTGCTGTTATGGGACAAAAGGCTCCAGCTTGCAAGCCATGCGAATTTGGTGTCAGATCGACGTTGAATGTGGCCGCATACGTTGTATAGTTGAATCTACATGAAGGACTTAGTTTCACAAGTGTACGGTGTTGAAATCCAAACAATATAATTACTTAGAAACTTGAAGAGACAGTCCATTCGACGTGCAGTTTCCACCAATTGATAAAGTCAGGAAGCTACTGGCAAATCTGGAGCCAGCGTCTGTCGAGAATGTGACTCTCATGCTTTGATCAATGAAGATGGGAGCAGCGTGTGAAGCAGCCACGACCAAAGATACAGGAGATCGTACATTGAATGTCCAAGAAGCAGGAATACATAGCGTCAGTGGCACACACATAGCTGTAACCTTAACTGTTCGACAATTATTGAGGAGAGGGATACTACTCAATGGATACGATATGGCCAAAGATTGGCTAACGTTTGTAGCATTCAATGTTTGACTCCGCACTGACAAACTGCCATCCGGTGTCCCATCACAAAGAGAAGTTTGCTGCCATATCTGAACCTGGTTAGTTCCGACTTGAGCTAAACTAGTTCCAGAAAGAGTTATCGATGGTGCTACATCTCCCATATCGTAAAGCGCAGTGCTTGCAGACATGTTCAATATGGCTCCAAACCAAGCTACTCCTGATACTGACGCACTGAGTTCTGGTCCAATATAGCTGGTGATTGAGTAATTGAAGGAACTTTGGCTTGTGTAGTTTTGCAAGTATGCGGCGATCAGAGCTGCTGACGTCGCGTTGATAGAATATGGAGCACCAGTGGATTGGGTGACGTTCGCCACTGATACAGAGCTTATTAAAAAGTTGGTCCATGGTGATATACCGGCTTGAACTGAAAATGTCATCGAGAAAGATGGATTTTCAGAATCGGAAACGTCTGAGGTTGCCGTGACATTGAATGGTGTGTCCATTCTCAAAACATCTGTTGACAGTGGCGACGTGATGCCAAAATGTCTTGCAATCAAGGACACATAGACGTATGCTTGATGCTGCAAAGATCCGCTGGTTACACCAAT